ACAGCCAATTTGACCAGTTCTGCCATTCTGTGCTTTGTTGGTTTTCCGGCCACCTCCTTGGAGCGTTCCACACGCTCAAGTCAATCATCTCCTGCTCTTCGTCTGAGGTGTAGGTCTCTTCGCCTCCAATGGCGTTCCTCACTGCTTCCCAGGAGGTCACATGTCTCCTCAGCTCTCTTGCTGTGTTCTTCAAGGCCTTCAGCAAGATCAGGATTGCAATGCTCAGGATCACAATGGCAATTGTCAATCCCATCACCACTTGCTCTAGCGCCTCACCTCCTGTCGCCTTTCTCCCAGGCAATCCCTCTGATTGCTGCTGCGGCTCATCCTCTGGAAAACATTGCTCTCCATGCTGCGCATGCTCGGCCGGGGCCAGGCCCAAGGCTGAATCTGCTAGCAATGCTGTCATCGTGAGCCTCAACAATCTCTTTGCCAACTGGTTTGCCTGTGTGCTCTTCTGGTGTTCCTTCTTCAGCAAACACCATCCTTCTCACTTCCTGCAACCTCCTCTTCTGCTCGGCCTTTGCCCTCTCAGCCTCGAACTCTGTCTTGCCAAGCTGTTGTGAGGAGTCTGCAAAACCCATGATGTACATCAACATGTTGATACGCTTACCTCCAAGCGTCTTGGCGCCGATATCAGATGGACTTGTTGCCGTTTCCAATTTGCGCAAATCTAGATCTTTGCTTTGTCTCGGCTGGAGCCAAAGTAGTCGTCCACTGAGGTGTTTCAACTTCCCAACACCTTCTTTCTGAGCAATCGCTATGCTCGAGCTGTTGTCACCATAGATGACCAACTTCACCTGCTCACCTGTGAGGTGTTCGACTGCAGCTTTCAACAGCAAACCTTCTGAAGCTCCTGAAACCAAAGCAACATACTCTGTCTCCGTGCTTGACAAAGTGATGTTCTTCTGGGTCCTGGCGTAGGAATGAATCCAATTGCCTGCAAGGAAAATGCATCCTGCCGATGTCGAGCTTCGTGTCTGCTTGTTTCCTGACCAGTCTGAATCGCAGGTCACTTCCAAAAGCCACATGTGCTCGGCCTCTTCAAACATAGGTGCTGTTGTCAGACCTCTTGTCCTGTTCCTGAACGAGTTGCTCTTTGTCTGACTCCTCATCACCAAACGCACGTCCGTGGTTGTGGCCAAATAGCCAACCAACTTCTCAAGAGCTTTCCATGCACCTTCAGTTGGACTTTGGAGTCTTCCAGCAAGCTCCTTCACATGAAGCTGGATGTCCGGCCTGTCACCTGCCATGTACAGCAATGTCCTCCTCCAGTCATTCTCCTCCATAGTCTTTCCATCTTCTATTCCGGCTCCAGGCGTCTTTGACTTCTTCACCGGACTCATCATCTTCGCAAGATTGTGGATGTACTTCTCATTCACCATCATCTTGGTTTCTGAGGCATCCACCATGAGAGTCCTCTTCAAGAAGCTTAGCACCTGGTCGTCTTCCACAGACACCTTGTAGCGCTTCATGAGGTGGTCAGTGACTCTTGCCACTTCCTTCTCTTCTCCTCCAAGGATCATGTCATCGACGTGGACCAGCAAGATCACATCCTGGCCTTTCCACAGCGTTGGTGCTTCAGCGCATGGCGTGAGCCCTGCCTCAATCAGTCTTCTTCTCAACTCTTGGAACCACTGTGCTGCACCTTCACGTTGTCCTGGAAGAATCCGGCCTAGGATCCACTCCTGCTGTAGTCCAAGCCTTTCAGCCAATGCTTTATCTAGACTGACTTTCACTTTCTTTGGCTGTGCACACATCAGGTATGCATCCTTGACATCCATCGTGATCTCGTGATCATCTTCCAGCCTTTGACCTGACAGATCGCTGGAACCAACCTCAGCAAGGAATCCTGCTGGAGCAAAGACATCTGTTCGATTAGGGTCGCGCCACGCAAAATCGCGCGCAACCAGTCTTTCTCTTCTCGTCCATTTGTTCTCTCGCCACCGCCAATCCATCACCAACTTTGTCGTCAGCAATGGTACCTCTTCCAGGTCATCATGCTTTGCAGGCGGAAGCAACACTGTCATGCCAATCAGCCTTTGAATCTCCTCCTTCGTGGCTTGATCTTCAATCTCTGCATCCCAGCCTCTGGCAACTCCGGAGGTTGATCTGGGAAATATAGGCTTTCATCTCCATCGTACAGCAACTCTCCAGCAACCACCATGCGAATTGTCGAAGCTGATGCTGGTTCAGGTTCATCCTTCTCTGCACTTGCTCTTGTCTTCAACATCTTCTTCGGTGCAGACCTTGCCACTTTCTTTGGCATTTCATCTTCCACATCTCCTTCTCCTCCTGACCTCTTTGGACTGTCCATAGGGCTTCTCGTTGGGCTCGTTGGTGCTTTGTCGACCTCGCTCTCAACTGTTGGCTCCTCCAAGCTGTCAAGCAGGTCCTGCAGCAACGAGTCATCTGTGATCACCAGACCTCCTTCATCTTTCTCTTCACCTGGTTATGTTGGAGTGTAATCACTCATGTCTGGATCCTCACCTCCTTTGCTGCTTTCTTCATCTGCCCCTGCCTTTCTCTTGCTTCATCACCTCTGAGCCTTGCCTCGTCCTCTTTCTTCTTTGCCTTCTCCTCATTGGCTAACTTCTTCTCCTCTGCTCTAATGCCTGGGGCAAGATCTGGAGGCAATGGTGCTGTAGGAAACTTGCTCACGGCCTCAGGGTCAAAAGGAGTTGGCAGCCGTCTGATGGTTCTTGTCCACTTCAAACCTGAAGCTGTGGCCACCATGTGGAAATCTGCTCTGTCTGTCTTCCCAAGCCATAAGCCTGGTTCAAACTTGTCACTTCCGTTGGCTCTCTTCACCCTTGCCAACACACGCTCACCTGCTGTAGTGCGTCAACAACCTCCTCCTTGTCTTGTGCGTCAACAACCATCCTGCATGGCGCATAGCCCAAAGGAACACTGGCGAAGATGCTTGATGTGCGTCTGGCAGCCCTCTTTGACACCGTGAACCAATGCCCTCGCCATGCCCCGCAGCGTCTGGATCTCTCTCTCCACGCGGCCGTTGGCTTGTCAACCAGCGGGGCCACTGGTCTCAATGTTCGCGTGGAAACCCAACCTCAGTCTTGCTTGCTGCAACACCTCCAACAACATCCTCATTGAAGGTTCTCCATCTCCCTTGAGGATCACTCTTGAGTACCCCAAGCTCCCAATCAACCTCATCACCTGTTCAGCCATGAACTTCAGGTGCGCCCTGCCTTCCCCTGGTGTTGGCGCACACAAGACTGCATGTGACCAATCATCTGTCACCACCAGGCATGTTCCTCCACGAAGATCACCCTGGTAGATGCGCAGGTCCTCCTTCACTTCTACATCCACCTCTTCATCTCCTCGGCTGAAACAGAAGTCCATCGAGATCACTGGCATCTCTGCCTTTCCTTCTTGCCTTGATGCATGCTTGTCGCTCAGATGGTAGTCATCACGACCTCTTCCTGCAATGCAACGCAGACACCAAGGCTGATATGGGAAATGGGTCAACTCATGCACTTGTCTTTCTGCCTTTGATGGCATTCTCGGCACTGCTTGTCCTCTGGCCTCTTCACCTTCGTCGGCTTTTCTGGACAGCTCGAACCGTGACTTCAGCAAACCTTGGAACTCCATCGTCACTGCTCGCACCTTGTTCTCCTCCACAGGCTGGTCCACCTGTCCCAACCTTTCAAATTTTGGCGTCCACCACCAGTGAATTGCGCCTGAACTGCAGGTTCTTGCTGAACAGACCGTGCGTCAACCGCGCGTCACCATTTTCTCCTTCTATCTTCCAACCTCTTCTCAGCAGCTTGCCCAAAGCAAGTAGGGGTTCCTTGACGTTGGACAGGGCGAAACTTTCTCTCAGCTCGACCAAATGGCCTTCTTCATCTTCAAGCTCAACCACGGCTTGGCGCATGCCGCCATTTGTCATCTTCCCTCCCTGAGCATCTCTCAAAGAGGTCACCCGCTCCAGCGGGAATCCTACCTCTCGGTACCTCATGGGGAGCGCCGAGATGTCAGCTCCTGAGTCGAGTATCACCAGTGTCCCTTCTCCACCAGCGACAGTACGAACAAAGTTCACTTTGTTGCACCCTTTCTTCTGAGGCCTCGAACCTCCACCGACCAAGTCCTCATAGCCCACAAAACGGGCTTCCCCTTGGCCTTCACCTGGATCCTTGAACATGATCCAGTCTTCATCATTGTCGCTGTAGGTGAGGTCATAGGTCTCAGCCCCCACCATGCGGACATGCCCCACTGCATCGTCCTCCTCATCTTCATCCAGGATCACTGTCTCGACCCTTCTGACATTCTTTGAGCTTGTTGATGGCGCTGCAACCGATGCCTGGGCCACACTTGCACTGTCCCCCACCGATGTCGTGACCGTGGAGGATGTCTCACTGACTTGCCTCAGCGTCCTTGAAAGCTAGCCGCCAATCCTGCCACTGGGACAGCTGCTCCTCCATGTTCCTTGGCTCGAAGACCTCAGGAGATTTCACCACTTTGCTTTCTGCGGCGAATCCTTCACCATTCTTCTTTCCATCTTTCTCCTTCATTTCCTTCAAAGTCTTGACCGCTTCTTGGGCCATTGCAGCCGATTGCTGCGAGGCAGCCACAAGGCTTTTGCCACCTGTTCATCAATCTTTTCTTCTCTTCTTTCTTCACTTCAACTTCTTCTTTTCTTCCTTCTTCTTCCCTGGATCTTCTTTCTTCTCCCGGGGTATCTTTATTGAGCCCCCCGGGGTCGGCTCCGCTACCATGAAAACACGCGAGTGAACGTGCGCACTTTGTTCCTGCGAGGGGCGGTCTGAGCCTGTAGGTTGCGGGCATCATCATGCCTGGGAACATGTTCACGGTTATACATATGTATGATACCTAATAATACTTATGTCATGAGGTCTTGGTTTTGATTGCTATACAATACATTTTCCAAAGTAACAGTATACCATCCGTGATCTGCCACGTAGGAAGCCCTTGCCCAACTCGACCGTCTCTTTCTCGAAATGGCGGAAGACACCGTCAGCCATATGGGGGCCATGGCCTGGCTTCTACCAGACCCCACCGCCAAGCCGCCGAAAGAGAACGTCGTGTCGGCCTGCAAGCGGCGTCAAGAGGCCAGTCGTTTTGTCATCGTCTTGTTGCACCTTCTGTCTTGTCACTTCATTCCCGCGAGGTTTCTCTTTGATTCTAATCCCCTTTCAGGTGCCACGCCGACCACACGGTGACAATTGCCAGGGTGACACAGCACCACATCAAGGTCACCCCGGCCACGGAAGACCAAGTCGAAACAGACTTGGGCACTCTCGTTGGCATTGTCATTGAGAAGGGGCACACCCACCTCAAACGAGCAGGCGGGCTGTCCGGTTTCAGTTTCACGTTGCGATCCAGAAATTTGTTTGAGTTCAAATTTGACTTGTTTAGTTGCAGTGGGCCTGTCAGGCACGAAGCGAGCCTTGCTCGGAGGTGGTGGAAGCTTTTGGGGCAACCTCAAGGCCCAGCCCTGGGACCCCCACTTCATGTGCGGCGGCGGCGCCTGGACTTTGAAGGCGGCGGCCGACAAGTGGGCGTTCTTAAAGGACTGGCTCGTCGTGACTTCGAACAACCCATGTGGTGAAAAGCTGCAGTTTTGCTTGGCAAGGTGAACGGAAAAGTTGTTGCGTTTTGTGATTCCACTTCTAGGAGGGCCAGTGCTGCATTATCACCCGCGGCAAGAACATCGCGGGGGGGCACACTTGTCGAAGAGGCGGGCATTTCATTTTGTAGTGAACCCAGGTGCTGTGGCCCCACTTGTGCGGCCACCATAAGAACTCACATTGAGCAACAGTAGTGGGCTGCAATTGCTGCCAACCATATTCTAAAGTCAGTTTCAGGCTTGAACCTGCCCCTCCTTGTCGATAGACTCAACCTCAACGTTTGATGTTTCGGCATCTAGATCTGAAAGAAAATCATATATTTTAAAAAGCATAAGAATAGCACCAAAAGAAGAGCAGGATCAACAAGCACATCCTGAGTAGGTTTGCTGGTCCATTGGTTGTCTGGTCTTGGTCCTTTGGAAAACACAAGGTTTGCGAAAACAAAGCGCTACCCGGTCGCCTTGGTCCTTGCGTCGCATTCTCAGTGCCCTTCATTGATGAGGCAATGGGGGGTGTAGTTTTCGATGATGGTGATCTGCTGGGATCGCTCACCCCTCCAGCGCCGCGAAATCTGCACTACTTTTTCCAATGCGTTGGGCCTACCGCGACAGATTTTCTAAAGGTCACCCAGGCACCCATCAGGCACTCATCGCTCACACAACATATTGCAAGCGCTCGCCAGAGTCTTATTGATTTTGTGTTGCAAGCGGCTGCAAGCATTCTTTCATTGTGCTGTGGTGGATGAGCCCCTCATTGATTGGGCAATAGGTGCGTAGTTTTCGATGATGATGTATTTTGTGGTGCCTTCAGCATCTGATGGCTTTTGTAGTTTGCAACCCCGCTCCGGCGCGACGAGGTCTGCACTGCACTGGGCCTGCCACGACCGACTTTTTAAAGGTCACCCCACCGCATATTCACCCTGGCCTAAGTCTTTTTGATAATTTGTTGCAAGCATCCTCTCATGGTCCTGTGGTCGCCCGCCCTGCTGCTGTTGTCCTTTCCCTAGCCTCCTTTTCCTTTCGTTGCTCACTGTTTTTTTGATCCCCGACGAATGTTTTTTATTGATGCTGTACTCATTATCGCTTTGACCCCTCACCCCTGGATGTTTCTCAATCGTTCTCCAAATTGCGGCGTCATAATTTCCTGAGGGAAATCGTTTCAACGGCCAAAAGGGTTAGCTGAACCATTTTATGAGAACAGATCCTCAGCACTGCAAGGGTTGAACATTTCATTCTATAATGCAGCAACCCCCGGGCAGAGGTTCGTCAAACCATTTATCTCTATAATATGGCATGCCCGACATTCACGGGTGATTCCACAGGAGATCCTAGATCTATGCACCTACAGCTGATACGCCTTTTTACATCTACACTCTACACGCCTGATACGTCTAATCTATCACTTGCACCGACATGCGTACACTGACGTTAATACCAACACATGATGGTGGTGATGATGACGATGACACTAGACGTGATGGTGATGAAGGTGATGACACGCGATGGAGAAGAAGAAACAAAACAATTAAAACAATGAAGACGAAGACGAAAACACCATATAACAAGAAAAAACACAAATACGAAATAACAAGAAACAAAAGGAAACAAAAGAAGAAGAAAAAGACGACAAATAAGAATAAACATATTACTAATATATAATAAATTATTAACAATAACAAGAAACAGAAGACCTGTATCGACATTAACATTCAACAAAGTATTTCCGTTTATGTGACAAATAATCGAATCCCAGGGGTTAATTTTGACATGATCTATTATGCAGATGACACTGTACTTTTCTCACGGAACAACCGAGCATTAAACGAATTGCTGAAATTGACAGAGAAAATCCCCAGTGGATACGGACTTGGTCTCAACAAAAACAAATGTGTTGCTATCACTATGAGCAACGACGGTTGTATACATTTTCATGACGGGACCCCTTTGAACAAAGAATTTGAGGCCATGCATCTTGGAAATTAGATAAACAGGACAGTAAAATAAAACATGAAATCCTCAATAAAATGTCAGAGGTCAGAAGGACCTGGTTTAAGCTCAGCGCCTATTGGAAAGCTTCTGGAGCCAGCAAAAAGTGGAAGCTAATCATTTTTGATGCTATAATCCGGAGTAAGCTTCTATATGGGTTAGAAACTATACATTTAACCCAGGCGCTAAGCAAATCACTAGATGCTTTCCAATTAAGAAGCTTGAGAAAGATTCTCAAAAGACCGCCTACTTTCATAGATCGGTCATGTACGAATCAAAAGATTCTTGAGGAAGCAACTGCCATTGCCTTCCCAACTCGGGGCGATAACAGACAAATTATACGTTTCAGTGATTACCATATGAACAGACGATGTAAATTACTTGGGCATATAATTAGAAGCAGTAATGATGACCCCATGAGACAAGTTTCATTCGTTGATAGCACTGCATCCAGAGTTGATTGCGGCACCAAACGAGTTGGGAAACCGAGGCAAAACTGGCTGCATATCACAAAGAAATTTGCATACGAAAACGTTTTAAGACATCATAATTTCGATGAAAACACCGATGATGCAAGAATATATGCAGCCGCATTGAACAGAGATTTTTAATTACCGTTCTTTGGCTGTGCCACAATAAGCCCGTCCGGACCAGGTCGGCGCGAGGTATGGCTGGAAAAAAAAGAAACAGAAGAACAAAAACGAAGGCTAAGAAGACCAAGCAGAAGAAGAAGGACAAGAAAAAAGGAAAAACAAGTAACGTTAAAAGAGAAAAAGACAAGGTGAAGGTCAAGGTCAAAGTAGGTGAAGGTGAAGGTGATGATGCGGACAATGTTGGTGGCTGTTCTTGAAGGAGAACTCTTCGCAAGAACTTTTGGAAAAAACACTGTTTGAGATGAGTGGATTTAGGTCGCAACATGTTGAAACATTTTTTCTCAAAGCAGTTGCACCAAACAAGATCTAAAAGTACTCCAGAGTTGGTACTTGACCAAGGTTTCAATCAGCACTTGAGGTTTGCTTGCATAAAGAAAACTACGTGCTCGTCAACCTGGAGATACAGACAGCACCTTCACGATACTGCATGGATTTTCGCTCAGAATCAAATGTTTCGTTCTAAACCCTGCAACGTTGAAGGGGGATCCGCTCATCCACTTTAGACATCGAAACTGGAAGATATCATGACTATCCATGACTTCAAGGCTCTGCAAATAAACCGTTTGGTCTACTGAGTCTACTGAGTTTTGGCCAGGCACGGACAGACTTGGCTGTGACCTTGGACAGCGCATGTTTGAGATTTGAGAGATTGTTGCAGGGTTTGCCAGTGTTTGGATTCGTGACTACACGTGAGCCTCCTTTTAATTTTATGTGCTTTCGGAAAGGATTGAAATGGATAGAACATGCCATACTTTTACGGGCATCGTAACTACGAAGCTCTATTGACCATTGGCTCAAAGTGGAATAGGCCAATGAAATGGACAAGCAGTTGGCATCCTCAAGCTTTGAAGAACTATGCCAGCATGATTTAGTTGTGTTGTGAACGTGGTCTCAATTTAGCACTGCCATAGGCTCAAAGTACATGTTTTTTCTCGAGTTGATTGCAAAGAGAAGTTCCACTAGGTTTGAACAGTCTCAGTATTGACTACACGCCAGCCACTAGTGTTGCGCGGAGCCCACCTGCCACGATGGGCAGTGCAGAACTAAGATCTCGAATGTTCCCAGGATGTTGCTTGAGCCATTTTGAGCCTCTCGTCGCATCAGGTGGTGCGTCCAAAAAGGCGTGGGGAAGAAGGCGTTGCGGGCGTCCACCATGTGTGCCTTTGTCAAGTGTCAACTGATTCAAGCGTGGATTTGAGAGCGCCAAGTCCCACAAAGTGATGCTCTTTGTACCAGGTTTCACATCACATCCAATGTACCAGAGCCCGAAGGGGACACGTGCTCCCTTGCGGAAAATGCGCAGATCGTTGGCAGACAAGAGTGAGTTGCTTTCCGATTTGTTGGACAGGTACCAGCAAATCTTCCCTGTATGGACGATTGCAGTAGATTGCTCAAGGGAACCTCCACGGACGGACGACTTCAGACACAGTTAGCTTGGTGGCATTGCATGCATGAACTTTGGTCTTAGAGTGTCCAACATATCCCACAAATTGCTTACATTATGTAATCACAATTTTTGTTCAATGGTACCTTGGTCATGTGCCTGTGCAGATTCTGGCTTGGCTGAGGTGACAAAGAACCAGAGGCAGCTCGCGACTGCCACAAGTGACAACAGAATAAACCTTTGGTTCCAGCCCCAGAATCTAGCTCCAGTGGCTCTGTGCTCATGTGCGCTGCTACCCTGAGGTGCCTGGTAACGCATCAATTGTTGGCTCCTTTGATTGGACATGCTGACACTGTCGTGGCCTGAGAGATACTGCGATTACTGCGATGGTGCTCCCCCTGGATGCCCATGGAGGGCCATTTAATTTAGGATTTTTTTGTTTTTTTAAAGTTTTTTTTTGTTTTTCGTGGCTTCTGTGGCTTCTGTGGCTTCATGGCTTTCGTGGCTTCTGTGGCTTTCGTGGCTTCTGTGGCTTCTGTGGCTTTCGTGGCTTCTGTGGCTTTTGTGGCTTTTGGCTTTCGTGGCTTCTGTGGCTTTTGTGGCTTTTGGCTTTTGTGGCTGTTTGCTACTAGTCCATCTTTGGAGGAATGTGATGTCCGAGGCGCAGCTACCAGATGTTTTCATCCAAACGATTCCTTTATCCTTTGTCATGACACGCAAAACACAACATGTCTTTAATTAAGGTTTTCACTATGAAGGTGTCTAATGGCACATGACGACCTGCAAAAACCACAATGGTGGATGCTCACGGCCACTTCAACCTCGCCCAGCTTTCAACGTAGCTTCTTTCCGCACTATTCTCCATTTGTCGATATATCTGTCTACCTATCCATCTATTTGTCTATATCTATCCATCTATATCTATCTGTCTGTCTGTCTATCTGCCTGTTGTGTTGTGCTTTTCCTTTTATTCGCTTTGCAGAGAAGAACCCAAACAAGGAAGCAAGCAAGCAAGCAAGCAAGCAAGACAGCAAGCAAGCAAGCAAGAGCTGCTCACCTTTGGATCTGGTGTGCTGCTGGGGGGGGCGCTGCGCCCCCCCCCAACCCCCCCGCGCCACGAAATCTGCACTTCATCTCCGCCACCCGCGCCTGCCACGAAACCTTTCTCTTTGCTTTTCTGCTAACTGCACCAAACTGTTGTGATAGTCTGACACCTACACTATTCCAATGCAAATCTGTCTACCTATCCATTTGTCTGTCTATATCTATTTATCTATCTCTCGATCTATCTATCTTTCTATCTTTCTTTCTTTCCTATCTATCTATCTATCTGCACTTCAACATCCACAAAGTCCTTCACCTGCCACGAAGTCGAAATCGGCACTTCAAGGCCCGCAAAGCACTGCACCTGCCACGAAATCTGCATTTCAAGGTCTACAAAGTCCTGCGCCTGCCACGAAATCTGCACTCCAAGTCCCACAAAGTCCTGCACCTGCCACCAAATCTGCACTTCAACATCCACAAAGTCCTGCGCCTGCCACGAAATCCGCACTTCAACATCGACAAAGTCCTGCGCCTGCCACGAAATGTGCATTTCAAGGTCCCCAAAGTAGCATTTCAAGGTCCACAAAGTACTGCCCCTGCCACGAAACACGAAAAAGAAAAAAATCCCAAAACAAAATAAAAAAATCCTAAATTAAATCCGAGCCCGATGCCCATGGTCATCATGACTTACACAAGTCAGGTACCTTCCCGCGCCAAAACGAACCTGTCCATTCACTATGGTTTAGTCGTTGGTCTTTGTTGGTATTCGTAGTCTACATTATGTCACAACGGTGTGTTTTGCACCCTCTTCAAGTGGCAGAAGCTGCGGACGCTTTGCCAAAGAATTCTTTTTGCAGCAGGGTACAGAATCCAGACGGATATGAGATGAATACTAAGCTCGCGTAAGCTCAGCGGAATTCCATACCGTACCAAACAATTGGGCACATATTGTATCAATATAATAAGCAAGAAAGGAATGAAAGGAATCATCAGCAGAGTTCACCCTATTCCACTAAATCCAGTCATTTGAAGGATTCCTCTAGCTGATGTGCAATGCAATTCCAATTGTTCCCGCTTTTCTTTTTTCCTTCCCTTTTTTCCAGGTGCTTTTCCTTTTGCTTCTTCCTTCTTTCCTTTCCTTTCCAATGTATATACATTGTATATTTGTAGCTTTTTGGGCCCATCCATGGACATTCACGGCCATCCCTCCATTGCTCCTCGTGCTAAGATTTGGCGCCTTGCATACTCCCCAGACGACTTGCTGCTCGCTTCGACAAGTGCAGATGGCACCGTCCGCCTTTGGGAAGTCGAAGCTGGCTTGTTTCAGCCCGTGAATCATCCTAACACGTTTTGTCATGGCCTGTCTCGACTTTTCCATTCAGCACTGACTGAATGAATAGTCGCTTATTTGAATTTTTTTTCACTAAGGTTTGGTCGAAACTCCGCGTAATATATATACAGAGTCAATGGCAGGTTAGCACTGGCTTGCCGGTGATGATCCTGCCAAGAAATCACGCAAACTGGGTGAATCTGGCCAAGTTTTGTCTGAGAGCTCTGAATATCAACAGCTTAGCACAAACATTGCAACAAACCTGACAGGTGTGGAGTTTGGCTTGGTCGCCAGATGGGAGCAGGCTCGCGACTGGAGGCTGGCCTGCTGTTGGAGTGTTTCTGTGACAGATGCTTTGCACATGAGCATATACTGACAGCGAAACGGAAGGTCTTTCAGAAGGCATGTTTCTTTCGGAATCACCGAGAAAGAGGGTTTGACTTCTTGGAAGCTACTGGGTACTTGGGTTGTTCTTAATCAATCTTCTAGTATGATCTTAAAAAGTACTCCGTGTGATAGCGTGCCCTTGGTGTTTTAGATGTTGCTTGGGGACATGGTCCACACACAGCGCTCTCACCGACACTTTCTCCTTTCTGTTGCCACATTGTACCCTTTGGTTTATGAAACGCAATTTGCTCCACTATATATGAGCATGCTTAAATAGTTTGCAGCCGCCTAGTATCTTGCACGAGATGCTGTTTGACGATTGGGGTTCTGAAGCCTTGTTTTGAAGAATTCCCCAGTCTACTGCAAGGGAGATGAATTTGAGGAACTCACAATCATTTGAGGAAACCATTCGCATGAGAAGGCCAAATTGGAGATGACAGTTTTTCATAGTTTTTCCAACGATTGGAAGCAGGGATAAGGTGCTTCTTCGGGCAGAAGAATGCTTAGAAAAAAAAATAAGGGGTGCGAAATGGTGCCATAAGAAAGCTATGTATATAGATTGGGCAGCGTTTGGACCACAGTGCGGTGCACTGCGATGATGTATGGCAATATGTGCTGACGTGATGGGTTGCCGGTGGTGATAGTGTTTGTCAGAAGTTTGTCATTTTAAGATTCAAGTGCTTATTAATATGTGCAATGAAGCATAGTGATTGTGATGTGGTACTTTGCTAGGTTTGGTAGTTCAGGTATGTTCAGGTTATGTGTTGGCCGTTCTGCAACCTGCCAGGCTCAGATGCTCGCATTCTGATCTGGGACGCGCAAGAGGTGTCGTGTTGAACCCTACATTCAATGCGAGCTTGATTATTTGCCGTATTGGGAAGAGGAACACACGAATATATCTATATACAAATGAAGATCAGGGATCCTTATTTGATCTTATTTGTTTGATCCGTTTAAACAAACTCTCTTTAAATTAGATCCTAGAAACAAACAAAGGGGTAGCCTTTTTCCTCCTGCTTCTGGCAGCTAGGCAGCTGACGGTGCACAGCGGGTCCAAGAGCTGAGTGCCAGAGCTGCTATGGACCTCACTTTGGACGTTTTTGGTCGAAAAATGCCAGAAGACCAAGCACAGCACTTACCCTCACATCTCCTCCTGGGCAGCCAGCAAGTTGTTTTTTTTAAATGTTTTCTTTCTGAATCCAGAGAAACTTACTTTCGCAGGACCCTGCGTGGGCACAAACAGCAGCAGAAGAAGCCGAGAAGGTATGCTGGGCATGCTTGGTTTCACTTCCACAATTGTACACACCAGTGTTGCAAAGTCGTATTGCTGCAGCTGGTTTGGTTCATGAAAGAGCTCATCATGAACCATGAATGCTTTCAAGGTCTAAGTCATGTCTTGCAGAGAAGAGGTTAAGAGCAACCAGGGCAGCATATGTCGTGAGACGAAGCGAGCAAACCCGTGGACTACCCAATGAGGTCAGGAGCCATCGGCGACATGATTCAGTTGCGGCTAACATCAAGGGACGGTCAAGACTATCACAGAGGACAACAAGTTCAGTGGCCTCACCACACTTGAGGGTGCCAGGAAGCTAATTCTACAAGGAGTTGCACTGCAGGGACCGCACGGGGAAGAAGATTGTGCCACATTGCCAGCAGCATGGGAATGCTTGGCCTGGGAAGCCTGCCAAGGATGTGGCTTCTCCATCGATCCTACTAATTACTAATTACTTCAAAACATAGGAGAGGTTGAATTTTCTTGAAAACCCGCCGCGTTGCAGCTTCAAACAGACAAGCAATTTGCAGCGTCAGCAGTGGATAGTTAATAGGACAGCCGCATCTCAGTAGAGCCTCAGCCTTCCAAGTTTCGGAACATGCTACATTTGGCAACTCCATTGTTCGTTTGGTCTGAGAGAAGTCGGGCATTGTTACTTTCACACACACACAGAGTTTCGCCGTCCTTCCCTGACACGCCTTGCCATGCCGATCTTGAGATCTGGTGTGATGCGGTTTGCCCGACTTCCAACCCGCATGCCCCTGGTGGGTGAGCCTCGACAACGCTTTGTGCTTGTTGCTGCGTGACTTCTAATTACACAGAGAGGGGTTATACAATTATTGCAATGACGACACTAATACATTGTAGTCGTATATGATTGATTATAATTGTAGATTAAGATAGTATATTATTTCCAATATGTCTTAAACATGTCATTATCATAATCCTTAAGAATATCAATCTGGACTTTGTGGTAACTCTGCCCAAGCTCAGCTGACGCCACAAAGCCATCTTAGATTCACGGCAGCCTCACTTCTTTGCGATGCCAAGTACGCGGCTGCTCCGCTGAGGCTCGAAAAGCGTCAGTGGAACCTTTCTAGAATTGCATTCAATCTAACTTGACAACACCACAATAATATATATAACACATCTTTTTTTGTATATATACTGTATATCACGAAAGCCAGCTGATAGGCTAGGCTGAAGTTTTGGGGAGCGAACGAAGTGGGAAAAGGGGGTGTGAGAGGGCGTGCTACAGGGCCAATTTCGGAGAGCTAACCCAGAGCCTGGTGGGGGAGAGCGAAAAAAAGAGGTGGCCAGGAGGTAGTGAACATGAGTGGTTTTTGGGGTGTTGTGATGCAAGTGATGTAATTGACGGCGATCAGTGCATCATTAGCATCATGAGGGGCTCAGGAGGCAATGCGAACCGTCTTCCTATACCAGGGGTGAGAGTTTATGTCGAGGATAGGAAACAGGGGACAACAGGATGGAAAAGTGGTTGACTCCTCCAGGAAAGGGCGATGTGCGTTTGGTGGCTATTGAACTAGTGATTAGGTGTGAGAGGGAGGTGTGTGTCTCTCAAGACACTGATCTGTGAGGGCCGGAGGGGGATCAGAATGCTGTGGGGAAGGTGGAAGACAGACATAGCGGAGGAGGATGGGTAGGAAAAGAGGGCTTGCAAGAAATCTTGGAGTTGCTTGGGGCTGCGACGCCCGGCAACCATGCGCAATAGTAGGGCACCCCATACTTAAGAGCAGGAGAGAGAACAGTGCTTGGGGGCGCCCTTCTTTACTGGTGGAGAGGCCTAGTTGCCGGACTCAAAAGTCACCCCACATATGGGGTGGGAGTTCATGTGGATGAGACAGGCACAGCGGAGGACGAAAATTTTAGGGTGGGAGTTATGTTGATGCAATAGGGCACCCCATATAGGGTGCGAGCGCATGTAATGATGCCATCTGTTGAGGGCAGGAGAGAGAACAGATTGCAGCGGGCAAGCGCTGAATTGCTAGGGGTGCCACCTTTTAATGGTGAAGAGGCCTAGTTGCCGGACTCCAAAGGGCACCCCCTATGGCAATGGGGTGGGAATTCATGTGGATGAGGCAGGCACAGCGGAGGCAGAAGGTTTTGAGTTGCTTGGGGGTGCCCCGTTTTACGGGCAGAGAGGCCTAGTTGCCGGACCCACAAGGGCACCCCATATGGGGTGGGAGTTCATATGGATGAGACAAGCACAGCGGAGGACGAATATGTTCTACTAGGGGTGGGAGTTTGACGTTGCCTTCGATCAGCGGGGGTTGTACCCCACATTCCCCACTATAGGTCGTCGGTCGTGGTTTCCAAGACTTTACTTGCTTTGACCTCGAGCCGAGCTCCACGGGGCAACCAACAGAGCTGGGAGTTTCCTCCCATGCCGAATTCCACCCACCATGGACAACACACCATACAAAACCTTCCCGGACTACGGGATGCCCTTTTTCACCTCCACAACGCCCCTGCATCAGGACGAAAAAGGGCACCCCCTCCCAAACCTATGTATTCTACTTTCTATTTCTACCGTTGCCATGTCGACTTCACCACTTCCAGCTACTCTTTGTCCACTCTACCTTCTATTTCCCAATTCTTCACACTCGTCCACTGCGCCATCTTCATGTCTTCTTCCAAAGGCTGGCTTTCGTCCCCTCCCTTCTCAGGTACAATGTGCAGACAGGTTTGTTTAAGACCCCAATGCAAGCAACGGAGGACAAGATAGGCATTTGTTCTGGAACCAAGACTCAGACTCAGCGTGTCGTGAACCTGCTATGTATATATAGTTGAATTTCAAGTCAGGACCATTCTAGTCATGACGTTTTAAACGTCATATTTATTGTTTCTTCAAGAAGGTTGTCTCGATCCTCTTGTGGAAGAAGGCAACTTGAGTGGAACCGGCAAGCTTCACATGTATCGCAAAAGAACTGGACGTCATGAGGCAACTTTTCTGTGCAAGGTCAATCTTCGTTGATTTGTCACGCTCACATTCTGACGTGTTGATTGAGCGCATTTTGCAGCAAAGCTAGCTCCTTCTTTGCAACGCCGATAGAATTGGCGTGTCGATGCATGTGTGCAATGAGCTCCGTGAGGTTCCCTGTCCACACTCTCGATCTAACTTGGCACATTATCACCACATGAGCTGCGTAACAATTGGATCAGCAGCTTATTTTGACTGCCAGACGTAGTCTTTGGGTTTGCTTGGTGTAGCTGTAGGGCCGAAGGGCAGGTGGCGGAGGCTGCCCCGAATGCTTTGCCTAAAGTGCGCACAGGGATGCAAGCTCGTACAGGGCATTCAGGCCGAAGCCTTTCATCCGTCCCCCGTGACATAATTTGATGATATTTTATATCTGTGTAGTGCGTGCTGATTGTTTTTCGATCGGCTTGAGCTACAGACGGGATTGTTTCACGGGGGTTGGATGGAATTCTATGCGACAACTCTTTAGCAGAAAACTTTCATGTACCTTGAGCAGCGAAGGGATGCATGTGCTTGAGATCACTGCTACCAAGATGAGCGTGTGTGCGCTATTGAGAGTCGGGTTCTTGATTGCCCCATGTTGAGCTTGCTCTAGCTTCACCCGATGGCGACCAGGCAAGCGCGCAAGCAGAGAAGCAGGTCCGCAAGTCAATTGGAGTGATATAATTATGATACATCAAGTAAAAAACATTATCGTTGATTGATGCATCATGTCAAACTCCAAGAGCTGAAAGAGAAGAAGTATAAAAGGTTTTGCAAGTTTCTTTTTGACAGAGTCTAGTCCAGCATTTGCCATCGATTGCACCATGATCTATAATTTTGTACTGCCTTCATGTTCTATCCATTGCTAGCAGCTAGCAGGATTCAGACATGGGTAGCTTCATGTCTTGCTGGGGATTCTTCTCACCAGTCTCCATTTGCAGTATGTTGCAATGGTTGGCCTTTGTTGTTGAGGTTCCAATTTGCTTTGTGGCCTCAAAATCTTGCACAGCTACACAGTACACTTGTTGCTCCGGCTTGTGAAATTGTTTCAGGGTCTCACAAAGCCTATCAGATGGGATGATGTGTGGTGTGCGTTTGGATTTGCATTTTGGAAGGGCTGTGCTGCGCATTCGTAGGACTTTGGAGCCCCGCTGCTGTCGCCGATACCTCCACCCATACAGCCAGTCTTGTGGGGCACCAGCATGAAGGCACAGTAGTCACTAGTATCTGTGTTGCTTCCATTGGTGCATTCTGGAATTGCTCAAATTGCTCTCAATACATTCCAAAGCAGGGCTGGGGAGTCTTAAAACTGCTAGTTCTATGGCGTGTGGACCTGTGGATGAAATTGCAGTCATTTCAGCTAAACACGGCTCCAGATGTGTAATTTTTGCAAGCCACTGAGTCAGCACGAAAGGCCCTCGTCAAGACAGAGCGCTCTGGTGGACTCACGCTGACTGATGTGCCCAAACCTGCTATTGGTCCGAATGACGTCCTCATTGAGATCTCCAAGATCCTGGCTTCAAGATGATCAAAGGTCAATCAAAGGTCAAAGGACATGTGTTGCTGTTTTTCTTTTGAGTGTGCACAAGGCTCCTTTGGCTCCTCCTTTTTGACCCCCTATACCTTCGGAAGATCCCTGTCGCATCTCGTAGTCCCAGCCATTGGATGGGCCCCTTTCTGCAATGTGGATATTACAATGCGTGCACAATGCGTTCAAGAGATCACGTGCAGTGCATTTTTGTTGATGCAACATCCTCTTGCTTGGCTCAGTCAAACCAGGCTTCAGCTATATGCTCTCGTAGCCGCGTAGCCCTACTAGATATCAGCCCCCCTATTGTTCATTGTTGGTTGTGCACTAATTGTAGAGACACCAGCAACAGTTTACGCAGTATATGCAACTACACACTTGGTTCCGTGCTTAGAAGAAGCATTCCCAAGAACAAATCAGTAAACTTGTTGCTCAGGACAGCCATTTGTGGGACAGATGTGCATATCTACGATTGGAATGACTGGGCAAAGCGCACTATTCCAACACCGATGGTTGTTGGGCACGAGTATTGCGGCACTATCAAAGAGATGGGCCGCTGCCTTAGATTTGGTGAAGGCCCTGCATTTCATTGGGTGGTGAATGTGTTCTCAGATCAGGTCGGGTGCAAACTTCAGTTGAAGCACGGGATCAATTTGTTGAATCAAGTTTGTGAGCTGACAACAGCGCCTATCTCTTGACCTCATATCTAATGTGTTGACACCCTGCTTGAGAAGGAATCTTCACACATATTGGAAAGGGAGATATTCCGCACTGTATGCGCTTGCTCATCAAGGTTCAGAAGTGACTGGCCTCGAAATTGGCCAGAGAGTCACTGGAGAGGGCCACTTGGATGATGTGATTGACAATTTATAGTTTCCCCACTTGTCAATTTCAGAGCTTGGAGAGTGCATGTTTTCGTTTTCACTTGTGAAAAGTGATGGCCCCGCATGTGGCTGCCTTCAAAAGGCCTCCACTTGTGTTTTTACCGATAGTAAACTTACTAGAAACTTTTTGCTAGCAGTACTGCCAGGAGCTAGCGTTGCTCTTTGTTGCTAGTAGCTTGAGGTCACATCACCTGTGGCTTTTGCCGCAATTGCCGAGCTGGGCGGCGACATTTGTGTCGCGAGACCGTCGGAGTTGGAGTAAATCGACCAGGGGCTTTCGCTGAATACTTGTGTCTTCCCGTGCCTCAGCTCGCCAGCTCACCTTCTTTTTCCAACTTGCATGTTGAACCTTGAATCGCAAACTGAACAGGCAAACGGCCCCAGGGAAGCTGTTGCTGTTGATTCCCAAAGTGCCATGCTCAGTCAATCAACGTCTTCAAGCTCAGCGACAATGTGTCGGATGACATTGCCAGCTTTATGGATGCCCTGGGCAATGCAACGCATACAGCTTTGTCCTTCAACTTAGTGGGCGAAGATGTCCTGATCACTGGTGCAGGGCCTATAGGTGTAATGGCCGCCGCTATTTGTCGTCACGTGGGGGCAAGACATGTTGTGGTCACTGACATCAATGACTATCGACTGAACCTTGCGGTGAAGTGTGGTGCTACCAAAGCCCTGAATGTAAGCGGCGGTGATGCGACGGAGAAATTGCGGAAGGTCATGAAGGAACTGAACATGACAGAGGCGGGAGTCACAGACTAAGTGCCCTCAACAGGTACGGATGTCTCGGCATTTCTGAATTTCTTTTTTGCTGCTTTCTCATAGAATGTACAGCTTGGTTTTGGTTTCCTTCCTAATTGCAATATAAGATGATATCCATTGATCTGGAAACGTGAGGATAGTCGAGCGATGTTTACTTTATACCACTAGGCCCCTGTCCTTGCTATTGTTCTCTCGGTTGTTCTGTACCATGAGTCTTCCATTTTCCATCCTGCACAACATTTCAGCTTGAAACTGGCCTGCCTTACGGCGAGGACATCAGTCATTCACCTGAAAGGCAGAAACATGAAAGGCCAAAAGAAGGTATATAAGGGCAATTGTGGTCCTACTTTCTTTTGATTCTATTGGAATTCACTATCAGCTCGCTGCAAGTCACTAGACTCACTAGATCTACTGGGGCCATGTTTGTTTTACTTTCCACTGGCAATCACACTGTTCCTTGCACATTTGCTAACATACAAAGCAGAGAACGCTTGAAGCTGGTGCTCTTGTGGTCTTCGACTCGTTCAAAAACATGTCCCTGAGGGCTTTGATGTTGGCTTGGAGATGTCTGGGGTTCCTAGCGCAGTCCACTCGATGCTGGAAACGTTGAATGTGGGAGCACATGTGGGCTTGCTTGGAATTCCATCCCAGCCCTTCCCCATCAATTGGGACCATGTGGTTTTCAAAGGCCTTGTCATCAAGGGAATCTACGGCCGGGAGATGTTTGAAACCTGGTACAAAATGAGACTCTGCAGCAAGAAGTGTTGGGACTTCTCAGCAGTCCAATGAAGGACAGTGCAGGGATCAACTACTAGGGCCGGCCCCTTCCCTAGTCCTTTTGAGGCACGAAATGACTCAACGCTACAACACAAAGAGATTGAATGGGTTTTGACGAGTCAGCCCAAGGCCAAGAATCAATTGAACCGTTTCCAACACTGGGCCTACTTTGGAAATTCAATGAGAAAGTGGGATTGCTGACTAATTATCATTATCACATATTATCACCAGTAAAGCTGGTCAAGGCTATTTGAGCATCCCAAACCTGGTTTCTCCTGCACACGGCCAAAATAAGGCAAAGCATGCTGGTGGGTGGACTTCAAGAGAAGATTATGCCTGTCATCACGCACAGGCCTGCAGGGCTTTTGGTTCTTGAAATTCTGGGCTACAAGAGCCGAACTGCGGCTGTTGTTGTTTGAGACTGGTCAATATGATTTGCAGCTTCCTAAGCATTTAGCGAAAGTGAAAAGGGCCAAAGGGGCATTGTCCACAACAACGGCCTCTGCAAATGCTAAACTTTGCCACTAGGGCAGATATCCTTTCAAAGATTCAAAAACTTGCTTGCAATCTGCCAGGTATGATGTCGATCAGTTTGACGAGGGCTTTTCAGCCATGCTCTCCGGACAAGCGGGTAAAATCGCAGCTGCCTCAGATTTGTCCAAGCTTGTCAACTGATTGCCTTTTACTGTCGAATGTTTGGCAGCAACAGTATACTCAGTAAGACTCAACTTTCCCACTCAACACCTGAGGTTCTGAACTGGAAATAGCGTTTGTATGCTATGTACCTGTACAAAGTGCTGTTTTGCAGCATGAGAAGCATAGAAGCTGCTTCTTTGCGCTTTCGTGCATGATGAGCTCCAAAAACACAGCAAGATCTGTCAGGCTGTTTGAATTGTTGAAGGCTGACCACGAACAGAGATCGCGACCCTGAAACAAACAACTGGTAAAGCTCAAAGCACCATAGCCCGGAGCCTGAGCATCATTCGCAAAACTGGGCCCATCGTAGAGATTGCAATACCTAAAGCACATTTGGTGCTTTCCTTTGTGCCTTTGGCAAACAAGAGGCATCCTGTCAGTCAGGTTGCGAAAACAGAGTGCTGCAAATTTGCACAGCTTGGAAATAGTAGGATCGTTTCCAAATCTACTTGAACATCTATACTGCAGATTGTATTGCAGTAACTGTCCTGCAAGATGGGACAGGGCAGGGTGTTCCAGACTTCCACGTCGAACCTTAGTCGGCTTACCTTTTTGTCTCAGGAGAAAGCAACTTTGTGATACAACGGCCACGCACAAAAGATCAAACATGGGGTGAGTTAGTGGCTTTCACTTTGGGATTGAGCCACCTTTGCAGTTTGCTATGATTCGGGTTCCTCACTGCCAGGCCTCCCAATTGGCTCAGCCTCTAACCTTTTGGCAGGTGTGACTTCTGATACGACCTGTGAAGTGCACAATCGAAGCCTTGATAAGACCTGTGTACGCATTCTTTTCTTTGTTGTGTTGTTGCAGAGCAGGCACATGAGAAGAGCATCCACGATCTATTCTTCGCGCCGAGCGCCAGGGCCCAAATCAAAAGCGGTACCATGCGGTACCGTATGGTCCGGGTATGGTACAGTAATTACTATGTGCAGTCAGTGGGTCTACCATGCACCAGCCAAACGGGCTAGCTTCCTTGTGATCAGCTTACAATGCTTCCGAGCTGTTCCTTTGAATGCTGTTCTTCGACAAAGGGGCCAGACTGGAAGGGTTCTTCTATGTTTCTGCTACTCCTGACTTGGCCAGGCACTAGCAACCCCAAGCAGATACACAACCATTGAAGGCCTAGAAAATCTTTGACTCGCCAAGTCTGCCGAGTCCCATCATTTAGGACCTTAGGATATCCTTGAAAATCCACTTTGCTTTGGCACTACATCCTGATTCACCCTTGTAATCAGATGGAGCCATTGTAGAGCCAACGAGACAGCACCCGAGGAGTCTCGGATGCTGGTGTCTTGCGGTGCAGAGGGCTCCGTCGCTGTGCGCTTACCCCTGTTGAGTGGCTGACAGTGAGTGGGTGCAGCGGTGGTGTGGTTCGCTTTGTAGTACAAAGCTTTCTCAGGCATGGGCATTTCATGTTCTGATTCTATTTCATTGATAAAAACTCGGATTTGCTTTGGTTCATTTTTCTGCAGTACCTGACACCTGCGACATTGAACAGCACAAGATAATTGGAGGCATTGACAACCCCCTCTTTCTGTACTTTGGCACCCGAAAGTTGATTTTCAAAGACCTTCTGCATTATTTTTTGCGTGATGATGCGCAATTCTTTGCGTGATGCCATTTGTAACTCGACAGGTATGGGATGCTGATAGCGGAAACTTGGATTGTCGACTCATGGGCCATATTGGCACAGCCGCTTGCCTGCACAGTTTTATGGTCTGACCTACAGTACGATGGTATGGTGCCCTTTCAGCTGCAAACACATGCCCGCGCATATATATATATACACATACTGGGCGTGTATATATATATATATATGAAGTCACTTGGACGTCATAAATGTAGAAGCAAGATAAGCATGACTGATCGTGGACCCTCACCCAGATTCCAAGCCCCTTGCTGGAAGTATACTATTTGCATCTATTTGCTATTTCTTAGGATACTGACTGTTGAAGCACTGGCTAACAGGATAAGGTGCAAGCGTATATTTACACTCATGACTCGTCATGACCGTGTTTTGCGATCCCGCTTGTTAGGTTCGAGGGTAGGTGAGTTTTCCTTTTAGTTAGGGAAATGGAAGGGGGTCTTGCCCCCCCGACCCAGAAGAGGCGGCAAGGCTCCAGAACCTTTTGGTGGAGCTGAGCCTCGTAGGTGCACGCCTAGCTGTGAGCCATGGCAGTGAAGTGGTCTTGGCAAAGCAGCTGACGGAGCGCCTTGGTATCGACCACAAGCCCTGGCATACTGAATTTGTCACAGGCCAGGTGCGTGAGGCGGTTCAGATGGTGGATCTGGAAGATAGGCTGGTTGGAACCTCGTCGACGAGGTCAATGCAGAACATCATAGATGCCAAGGCAGTGATGGACAGGGAGAAGAAGAAGTCCCTCGAACCTGTTGAGCCCCTGGTGGTTGTCCTCGTGAAGCCGAAGCGTGGCACCCTGGGGAGGACGGTTCGGTTGAAGAGCGGGCGAATCGCGGCCGAGGACGAGGTGAGCAGCAAGGTCCTGGACAAGCTGGTGGGTGAGCTTGTAAACTACAAGGCGACGGTCCTTGAGGAGGTGAAGAAGTCAATGAACCCAATTCGAGCCAAAGAGGCTCTGCTGGGGAAGTATCGTATCTCAACAATCAGGAGGTATCTGGCGTCCTGGCAGAGGTTCAGAATCTGGGCGGATTCTATGGGGAAGCCAGGTCAGCGACCAAATACAGTGACCCTCGTGGACTACATGTATGCGAGGGAGGAGGAAGGAATGGGTCCATCCATTCCACTGGCAGTCAGCACGGCAGTGGCATGGTTTGAACGGACTGCCGGGACGCCGGAGGAGGAGCAGTTGATGAACCAGGCATTTCCACAGATGGTCATGAAGGAGCTGACAAGGAAGTTGGAGCAGAGTGCACCGCCAGTCCGGAGGGCGCCCCGATGGTTGGGGTGCTTCGTGGCTCCAATGGAGACGCTGGTGATCGATGCTGCAACCCCCTTTGAGGTGAGGGTGTGTGCATGGTTTAAGCTCATCAAGCTGTGGGGTTCCTTGAGATTTGACGATGCAGCGCATCTGAAGACTACGGAGCTCCGCTTTTATGATGGACAGTTGGTTGGGATGATGCATCAGACCAAGACAACTGGTGCTGGCAAACGGGTCCGTGAGCTGCCGATATTCATTGCAAAAGAAGCTTATGTGTTGCATGATGATTGGCTGGCAGTGGGCTATGACCTGGTCAAGCTGAAGATGCCAAGAGATCGTGTGTTTGTCTTCCCGGAAGGGTGCTTCTATGGTACAGCATATGGGACAGCGCCTGTCTCATATGCGGAGGCGGTGGCCGGGAGCTCAAGAGCGTTTACGCTGCTGGAGGGCTACGATGGTGGGTTGATCCCATCAGGATGGGAAAGATTCTGGACAGAGCACAGTGAGCGCGCAACAATGCCCAGCGGACTTGCTGCTTTGGGCGTGGAGAAGTCAAGCAGGGACTTGTTGGGCCGCTGGTGTCCGGAAGGTTCGGACGTTTACGTCCGGACATACAACACGATAGTCAGGAAGATGCAGAGGAAGATCGTGGCAGTGTTGCGAGGGGAGGCCGCCTATGAAGAGCTGGATGAAGGCTCCATTTTGGAGGAGCTCAAGGTGTGGCTTAGAGACAAGTGGACAGTCCCGGAAGACCAGGCCGTGAGTGTGTTAGAGGCATGGAAGGAGAAGTTAGGCGTCAAAGGGAGGCCACCGGCGACATTGCATGTTTCGGACGAGGACACCACGATCTATGATGGATCTCAGAGCGAGGAGGAGACGGCAGCCCTGCAGCAGGCGGACCCGAAGAAGAGGAAAATGAATGACCCCTTGGAAGAGGAACGAGAGGGGAACTACGTCGTGGTGTACAGGCGAGCCGGTAGGGGTACCCTGCACCGGGTTGGTGTGAAAGGCTGCTGGATGGCCAAGAAGCGTTTCTTTGTGAGGTCAGAGATCCACAAGGAGCTTCCGGAACCGGAAGAGTACACCCTCCGATGCAAGCTGTGTTGGGGCGGGGGAAGCGATCCCCTAAGTGAGTCCACAAGTGACTCGAGAGACGAACTCAGTCTCAGCGATTGAAAAGGAGTCGTCTGAGCCGCATCAAGGGGTAGCTGCATAGGGAGGATAACCTGGGTCGCACCCAGGGAAGGGTTCGTGCCGCAGCACGAGGGAGGGCTAGATCGCATCTAGCGGAAGCCACTGGTAGGAGGTAAAGGCAACCCTGAGCCGAGCGAGCCGCTCAGGCTTGGGGGCGGAGCGCAGCAAGCGCAGTGCCATTACCAGTGGAGGAGAAGGCTGGGCGCACCACAGACCGGTAGAGTTTTTCACATCGCATGTGAACGGAACAGTGCATAGCATGCACGAGGGTGGGCAACGCTGTGTCCATCAGAAGCATCGCATGCTTTGAAACCTGTTCTGGATCAGACAGGCGGGGCGGGGGGCGCTCACCGGTGGGCGCTCGACATGCCGCGTGCAGCCATCTCGGAGGCTGAAGGGAACAAGGCACTGGAACTGGCAGGCGCCGACATCAAGTACCTCTTCTCGAGGCATGAGGTGAGTGTTGACAATCAGAAGCTCTTCTTTCACCATGGTGTTACAACATTGGAGAAGCTGTCAAATTTTGCAAAAGATAGGGATGACCTGGCCACAGTCCTCAAGGAGCATTGGGAACTGGATTCAGATAGGTCACTAGAGGAGCGGGTACAAGTGGCGGCAATCACATGTGCCTTCAGCAATGCAAAGACAAGGAGTCAGAGAGCTGCGGAGGTAGACGCAGAGTACGACACGTCTCAGTGGGCCAGGCCGGTGGTGGCAGGGGAATGGGCGGCAATGCGCTCAGCACTGGAGAAGAAGTATGGCCACCTGGAGGATAAAATATATCCCTCGAAAGAATTCGTTGAGAAGAAATTGGCAGAGGTTGAAAGTGGTGAATACCGGGCTGAGGAGCTTACAGAAGTAGTATCAAAAGAAGAAATAGAGCCTGATGGGGTCGTGCCCATTTGGGACTCCAAGGGCCGATTGGCCATGCGCAAGGCTTCGACAAAAGTGCCCGAACCGGCGAACGCTGAAGAACTCAGACGCCGCTCGACGATCTGGAAGAATGCGATGGTCATGATCTCACTGAAGCATTCGAATAGGCATGAGCTGCAGGGAGCCTGGGAGGAGACGATTGAGCAGTACAAGGACTACCTTCTGGGGGACTACGTATATGGGCTCAGTGCAAAGGATGCGGAGGGCCAGACCTTTGCTGCGCCACCATGGAAGTTGATCATCGCATACGAGCGGGCCATCCGGAAGCAAGCGGTGAAGATCACCAACACAGAGGGTAAGCCCCTGACAGTGGCACTCAAGACAGCATGGAAGGATGCAACAGTGAAGGAGAGGAACTTCACGACACCTTTGGCATTGTATGCAAAGAGGCCTACACCGCCATGGAGAGAACAGACGACCAACAAGTGGCAGGCAGTCGAGAAGGGCAGCAAAGGCAAGGAAAAGGGCAAGGCGAAGAAGGGCAAAGGAAGAGGCGGGAGTCCACATTGTGCCACGCATACACCTGAAGGAGATTTGATCTGCTTCAGGTACAACACCCCGGGGGAGAAGTGCAAGATGGCCAAATGCAAATATCGCCATGTGTGCGGAATATGTTTCAGTGAGAAACACCCCCTCTACGAATGCAATGCAAAGAACAGGAAGGAGGCGGCAGCTCCCGACACAGACGGGACAAAGTGAGGGCCTTTGAAAGTCCTCTACGTGTTTTCGGGGAAGATGCGCAGGAACTCCGTGGCGTGGTTTCTTCGAAAGCTGGCACAACGAAAGGGTGTTCAGGTGGAGATCACTGAGTTGGACATCCAGTCTGATCGTCGATCGGATTTTACAATCCCTTCTGTACAGAAGAAGTGGCTTCAGTTGATTGCTCAAGGCATCTACTATGCTGTTATTGTGACGCCACCCTGTTCTACCTTTTCGAGAGCAGTGTGGGCGAATGATTTGGGGCCTTTCCCATTGAGGAGCTCGACATACCCGAGGGGTTTTCCGTGGAATAGGGCAGAGCGTTTTCACAAGGCTGAATTTGGAACAATTTTAGCTGACTTTTCATTTGAAGCATTGAAGCGTCAGTTTGCATGCAGGCAACGTGTCGGTTTGATGGAGCAACCGGAGGACCTCGGGAGGGCCAAATATGAGAGGGTTCCGGGGCATCAACCGGCGTCTATGTGGCAGTTTGCACAGTTTCAACAGTTGTTGCAGATCCCAGATGTGAAGACAGTGGTATTTGCTCAGTCAGAGTTTGGTACACAGTCACCAAAACCTACAAGATTCCTGATGCGCATGTTTGCACCTCTTCATCCAGCAATGCATTCAGGTATTCCACAGTTTGATGCTCAGGGCTGGTACGAGGGACCTCTTCCTAGGCAATCAGGGGGCGCCCCTCTGATCGGGAAAGCAGGGGGGGTTTTTCGTACAGCAAAGTCAGCAGCATGGCCTCCAGCACTCTGCAAATGGACAGCTGAAGCCATTCTCATCTCCTTCATGCAAGAGTGGAACGGGGGGGATGAGACAAATACTTCAGCATTGAAGAAGAGGAAGCTTGAAGTTGGCCAGGGCGACCAATCGGTGGCGAAGCGACCAAGGAGCGGGCAAGATGCTGGAGGTGGAGTTGATCCGATGAAACCACTGGTTCCGGGGGGGGCACGGTCCCCCGAGGGCGTGTAGATGGAAGGGCATGGAGGCACCTTTTCATGATGGAGGAGGTTTGGCGTCCCCGGGGAGATGGCCCCAGGGGGAGAGGAAAGAGTTGGTTGGAAGAGAATGGAGGGCACTGAGGCATAGGATCCTGCTGGCCGCAGTCAGACGTTTGGGGAGTGTTGAGGAGGTCGAGAAGGAAGCTTTCCGGATGGCGAGAGGTGGAGATGCATTCCGACTGGTCCGAGAGGAGGGCTTTTTAGAGGAGATCAGGCAAATGCTGGCTGAGTGTCTGGGCATTCCAAAGCAGGAGCAGCCGGAGGAGGGACAGCCGTTCTTTCTGGACCTCATGAAATGCATCCTGGAGAAGGCAGGGGACCCGGATTGGGAGTTCTTGGAACAGGCGAAGACCGGCTTGCCTTTGGGTATTATCAACGACCTTCCCCGGACACCAGAGATCTTTGAGGAACAGGTGAAGTGGAGCCTCGACGGAGACGATTGGGGCAATGCGGCATGGCAGAAGGACAACTATGCCTCGGCAGCGGAGCATGAGAGGTACCTGACGGAACACCTGGAGCAGGAGGTGGCTGAGGGGCTCATGCTGAAGATGGATGAGGCGGACTTCATAGAGACCTTCGGGAAGGACAGGGCAGTGGCAGCCCTAGCGGTGCTGGTGGAGGATGAGTTGACCGGGAAGAAGAGAGTGATCCATGATGGCACACACGGTGTCATGGTGAACCATCGGATCAAGTGCAAGGACAAGGTCCGAATGCCGGGGCCCAGGGAGAAGCGCGCTCTTCTGGAGGAGTATGAGGCTGGCCGGGTTGCTGTCCTTTCTCTGGTGGGTGACTTCGCAAAGGCTCACCGGAGGTTCAAGTATTGTGTGGAGGAGCAAGGATTCCTGGCTTGCAAGGCTTCCACCAGTTCGAGTACAGTTTATGTGAACAGAGTTGGCACTTTCGGAGTGGCATCGACACCCTACTGGTGGGCAAGGTTGAGTGCAGCGTTGATGAGGCTTGTCTATTGGGTGTTGGGTGGTTTCTTTCCGAACGACATGCTGCTCTACGCAGATGATCTTGAAGTGCTGACGATAGGGCGTCGGGGACGCATCGGTGGTGTGCTGGCCTACTCTGTGATGGCTTCCCTTGGTGCACCGTTCAAGTGGGCAAAGCAGAGGGGTGGCATCGTTACAGAATGGATTGGGCTTACCACGGATTACAGTGCCTTCTCCATGGGCCTTTCCTTGAGGAGAGCGAGCTGGCTTGTTGATTGGATCGGCTCCTTGAGGGAGAGAAAAGAGGTCACTTTCCGTGAGTTTTCAGCTGGACTTGGGAGGCTGGGCTTTTCAGCTTTGGCGCTGCCGTGGGAGAAGCCCCTGCTCGGGCCTTTGTACGCCTGGGCCTCAGCGATCCAAGCCAACAAGGGTGCAATGACCATCCCTTGGGCTGTGCAATTCATTCTGGACTGGGTGGCACAGAGGCTCAAGACCGGGGGTCACATGGAGGTAGTCAGAAAGCCTCCAGCATCGGGTTCCGGCACAGTGAGGATCTGGACGGACGCGAAAGCAACAGAGCAGGCAGCATGGGTCGGAGGCTGGCTTGAGGAGTGCGAGGACAGCATGAAGTGTCGCTGGTTTTCGCTACAGGTGACAGAAGTGAGCGCCCCCTGGCTGCTTTACAGGGGCAAAAACCCCAAGAGAGTGATTGCAGCATTGGAGCTTCTGGCGACCCTCATTGCCCTGAAGTTGTGGTTGAAGAAGGCTGGCGATACAGCCGAGGTGAGGGCTGAAGCGTTCACCGACAACAAGGGCAATTCCTTTATACTCCAGAAAGGCCTTTCCACGAAGTACCCAATCACCATTTTGGTGATTGAGGTGGCAGAGACACTGCGAAGGTGCGACGCCTTTGCTACGCTCACGTGGGTGAGAAGGGATGATAACACTTTGGCGGACGCCTTGACGAATGAGGACTTCAGTTCATTTGATCCCCAAAGAAGGGAGGCAGTGACAGAAGAGGTGTTGAAGTGGCATGTCATGGACGACCTACTGCAAAGCAGTGAGAAGCTCTTCAACGAGATCAAGGACCACAAGATGAAGAAGAACAAAGAGAAGCCGAAGTTGGACCACACCAAGAGGAAGGCCAAGAAATACTTCAGTCGTTGGAAATCCTGACTGAGAGTGGGAAGTCTGCGCCTGGGAAGCTCCCAGGTGCAGCCGGCAGGAGTAT